TTTTTTTTTTTTTCACTTGATAAATAATGATTAATGCATTGAAGGAACTTTCTTCTTCAAAGAGTCAATGTGGGAATCATTTGAGAACTCTAGTTACTAAGCTAGTTTCTGAGCAATCAACTGTGTGGTAGGAGTTGTTTGAGAGTTGCATCACTGATTAAGCAACATTAATAATATAGAATGAGCTACTGATGGCTCTTGGAAAAGTCCTGTGTGCTTGGCCAGTCCTTGGATGAAAGTGTGATTTGGACAAGTCTTACTATCGAAAGACATCAGTTTTTATGGTGAAGTACAAGGAGGTAAATGAATCCTTGTTTGGTGAAGATCGTGGCATTTTCAGAACTCCTTCTCTCATGTTCACGGTGCATAGGTTTAAACACAAGATGTAAAGTGAATCCCACTGTGAAAGAATTCATTTTGCATAAAAGTTCTTTTTTCTTTTTCTGTCCTTTCTCAGACTGACCTTTTCCTTTTCTTTTTGTTGCAGTTGTTTTCAGTACAGCTCATAATAAAAATGGAAATATGTTTAATGATTCATAGAAAGAAAGCATTCTGAAATATGTGTGTATCTGATTTCATTTCTTATAGCTGCAAAAGAATTGCCTTCTTTCACTGTGCAGTGACAGAATCCTTCAGGATGTTCCATTTAACAGGCAAGTTTTATATATCAATTAAAAAGAGTTGCAGCTTGGAATGCTTTTCTGTATGTTGGCTGCTTAGTACTGAAGTAGGCTCATAATTTTCTTGGTGTTTTGAATGAGTGTGGCTAATCAGAAAGCTTAATGATCATTCACAAAGTTTGTTTCTGGTCTCAGTTTGATCAGTTTAAATCATTCTAATATGCTGTATTTGTCTGACCTACGGTATTTTGGGTCCACGATTCAGGATTGTTTTGAATGCAGGTCAGGAAAAAATCCTTTGGTATTTCTACTTTGTCTGGGCAGGTCTATTGCTAATCAGGTGTAACAGAATTTGGGAGTTCTTCAGGGGACTTTGGGACTGCTTTTGCAGAGATTTTTCTACTTAGATATTTTGTGCTAAGTGTTTGAAACATGTTGGTCTGATGTTTCAGAAGATTGTGCAAAAACTTTCTTGCTGCTTTAGAAGGAAGTGCTTTCCTGTGCACCTTGATACATCATCTATTAGAGACCCTAAACATCTGCCTCAAAGCCTACTGAGGCTCAGGGAATACCTGTAATTTTGTTGTGTATTTCTACGTTTTTGGTACAAGGCATACTTCTAGGTTTTTGGCTTAATGCATGTACATCTAATGTATTTTCTGTGTGCATTTTTCTTTTAATAAGACTTACACTCTTGAAAACTAAGTTAACTTTCAATTTACAGGTTTGAAGCAGCCAAACTTGTTATGCAGTGGCTATGTAATCATGAAGATCAAAACATGCAAAGGATGGCTGTAGCCATAATTTCTATTCTTGCTGCAAAGGTACAAAACTTTAATTTTTAAGGAATCAGATTGTATTTTTAATGTCTGGAAAAAAAGCTGACATGGTCTGATTTTTGTTATAGCTTTCAACAGAGCAAACGGCTCAACTTGGAGCAGAGCTTTTCATTGTTAGGGTAAGTCGAATACCATCTTGACAGACAAAAATACCAACCCTCTCTATATATTCATCCTAAGAGTATTTCTGAAGCTAGAGAATGAAATCAATTAGATGGAATTACTAGAGCACATTAACCTGTATTTTGTTTGAATGGTTTTTGGAAACAGAAATTTATTAGCGATAATATCAAATACAGTGGCAATGAGATACAATAGCATAGATGAAAAGAAGTCAAAGTGTGGGGAAAAAAAAAA